TGTATTATTTGCTGTCAGTGATCGTTCAAGATAACCAGACTGATTTCCAGTGCATGTGATATTCTTGGGAAATCAGCCAGGCTAATGTAAACACCGAAAGTGGTATATTGTTTGTTTGTTTGTTTGTTTTTTTTTTTTTTTGGCAATTCAGCCAGCATGCCTATTAGTAAACTATATACATTAAACTAACAATTTATAATTAAATGCTTCAGCAATTAACCCTCAACTTTATTACTCTTGTACCTGAATGGAATTTCAAAAATACATCCACCTTCGTCATTATTGTTATTCTACATTATCCACTATTAAACATGCTCTTATTCACTGAATGTTATTCTCCTGAAGACGACTGAAGCAACTCAATCGAAACGTCAAGACTTTCTCAACTAGAACAGTTCTTTTCAGAACTACCTACGTGGTGTACCACAAGCTTAAACATATATAACCTATTCACTGTATTTCAAAATACCTTACTCATGCTAATAATCAGCCTCCCTAATGAATATTTTCTTAAGCTCCCATCTTTTGTGTTTTATATTTTTATTCTGTATTATTTATGTAATGTAGTTGTAGCATCAAATTTCATGTACATCTTGTTATGTGGTCATAACAATAAATGTTTATCTTATATTATCTTAACTTATCTTAAATTTTAATAAACATCCCTTGCTCCTAAAAAATTAATCAGTACAGTTGTATATCAACGACTTAATTTTCTTTCAGTTGCATCAGTTAATCGTGAGAGTTAGTTAATTATTATTTTAATATTGTCTTCCAATAATTGTACTCGACTACGCATTGTTACTTAATCTAGGCTTCGTTCATGGGTTACTCTGAATAATATTTTTTTCATTCAAAAAGTGCTCCTTGAATTTTCCAAGTTACTATAAGTGCCTCCTATATTCCCACTGTTTTCTTAAGCTCCCCACTTGAATAAGCGCTTCTCAAAAGGTGTAAAACAAATTTTTAAGTGCCCCGGGCGCTTGTTTGTGCAAGCATGGTACAGTAAAACAAATTAAAGTAGTTTTCTGGGAATACTAAAGTATTATTAACTTTAAATTTACTTTCTGATTATTCATAGCCACTATAGTGTATGGTGGCGGTTTGTCACCACCTTCTCAAATGACCATATTTCCTAAAGAAAAATGCTCTACACCAGCGTTAAATTCAGTCAGGGCCAGGCCTTGTGTGCAAGAAACTACTGACTATATTATATATATAAAAAAAGATTATTAAAGTAATGTAAATTATTTGCTTTTACTGACTTTGTTAACTGCATATAAAGGATTTAATTTGATATATCAAATCAGACAACAGCAGGGACAGAATAGCACCTTCACTCAACCATCAATTTGATTTATCTTTATTTTCATAAAACATTACCAGGTTTGACTTCCAGTTGTATTTTACAGTATACAGATTAATCATTTAAAGCATGATGAAGAACAAGTATCAAACAACTGCATACTTACCAATTTATTTGAATAAACACCCCATCCAAAGCCTCATTTGTAATAAACACCTCCCTCGAATAAATGCCCCAAGTTTTTATATTTTTCCTCGAATAAGCACTGCCATCCCCTCTCCCACCAAATGACTATAAACAAAATCATTCTCAACACTTTCTATTAATAATAAGCTACTCCAGTAGAATTACCTTTTTAAACGTGGTTTGGATCAATATGTCTATGATTATGCAGTAACATATTTTGATAGTAATTATGTGTTGCATTTCCACATTAAGGAACGTTATTTGAGTATAGTGTATCCTTGTATAATGTATCCTTTTTAAATTAAAGAAAAACCCACCCCTGAATAACCACTCCCTCAAAAACCTTTCTCAATAATTATTTATTATTTATTCGAATAAATATGGTACATCAATATTAATCTTAAACAAAGTACCATACAGTACGTGTTCTAAATACTAGTGTCCAAGTAACTTAGTACTTGGGTTTCTTGGATGGGTACTTAGAGTATTAGTAGGAGTGCTAGTTAAATAAAAACAATTATTACATTTCTACATGAAGTTTATTTGACATCAATATAAACCAATAGAGTTGATTTCTACTGGTATTTGTTAGGCGAGACTTTCTTTATTCCTTGTTTCGTGTACTTATTTTTTTAAGATCATCGGAGGAGGGCGGAATAAAAATAAAATTTTGTTTTCAAAAACATCCAGATGGAGGAGAAATTGGTGAATGTAAAATAGGATGGTTAAATAATTGAAATTTATATAATTTTGTCAGGGTTGGGTACATTTCCGGATGCTCTATTGCTGTCTCTTATACACATCTAGATGTGTATAAGAGACAGACTATAAGCGCCTCCTATATTCCCACTGTTTTCTTAAGCTCCCCACTTGAATAAGCGCTTCTCAAATGATGTAAAACAAATTTTTAAGTGCCCGGGCGCTTGTTTGTACAAGTATGGTACAGTAAAACAAATTAAAGTAGTTTTCTGGGAATACTAAAGTATTATTAACTTTAAATTTACTTTCTGATTATTCATAGCCACTATAGTGTATGGTGGCGGTTTGTCACCACCTTCTCAAATGGCCATATTTCCTAAAGAAAAATGCTCTACACCAGCGTTAAATTCAGTCAGGGCCAGGCCTTGTGAGCAAGAAACTGCTGACTACATTATATATATAAAAAAAAAAGATTATTAAAGTAATGTAAATTATTTGCTTTTACTGACTTTGTTAACTGTATATAAAGGATTTAATTTGATATATCAAATCAGACAACAGCAGGGACAGAATAGCACCTTCACTCAACCATCAATTTGATTTATCTTTATTTTCATAAAACATTACCAGGTTTGACTTCCAGTTGTATTTTACAGTATACAGATTAATCATTTAAAGCATGATCAAGAACAAGTATCAAACAACTGCTTAATTACCAATTTATTTGAATAAACACCCCATCCATGGCCTCATTTGTAATAAATACCTCCCTCGAATAAATGCCCCAAGTTTTTATATTTTTCCTCGAATAAGCACTGCCATCCCCTCCCCCACCAAATGACTGTAAACAAAATCATTCTCAACACTTTCTATTAATAATAAGCTACTCCAGTAGAATTACATTTTTTAACGTGGTTTGGATCAATATGTCTATGATTATGCAGTAACATATTTTGATAGTACTGTAATTATGTGTTGCATTTCCACATTAAGGAACGTTATTTGAGTATAGTGTATCCTGGTATAATGTATCCTTTTTATATTAAAGAAAAACCCACCCCTGAATAACCACTCCCTCAAAAACCTTTCTCAATAATTATTTATTATTTATTCGAATATGGTACATCAATATTAATCTTAAACAAAGTACCATACAGTAAATGTTCTAAATACTAGTGTCCAAGTACCTTAGTGCTTGGGTTTCTTGGATGGGTACTTAGAGTATTAGTAGGAGTGCTAGTTAAATACAAAAAATACATTTTTAAATTATTACATTACTACATGAATTTGATTTGACATCAAGATAACCCAATAGAGCTGATTTCCACTGGTATTTGTTAGGCGAGACTTTTTATATTCTTTGTTTCGTGTACTTATTTTTTTAAGATCATCGGAGGAGGGCGGAATAAAAATAAAATTTTGTTTTCAAAAACATCCAGATGGAGGAGAAAATAAAAGTAAAATTTTATTTGTGAATCTAAAATAGGATGGTTAAATGATTCAAATTGATATAATTAGGATGAAATATCTTATATTTGGAGATTTCAAGCCAGCGGAGGGCGTAATAAAAATGAAGAAAGACTTTTATTTATTTTTTTTATTTCCATGTTTTCATTATAAGGGCGTTCGCGCAAATTAGCCAAAAATAAAATTTTATTTTTATTCGAAACCATCAATATTTGTTAAACAAGGTATTAAAAAAGTCTCATCTGACAAAAAAAACTAATTTTAGTCTTCAAAAATAAAGTAGCATCTCTTCAGTAAATACAAGTACCCAAAGCAATGATTTCAGTGGCGTAATGATGGGGCCTGGTGGTGAAAACAATTTGTGGGTCCCTTGCATTCTGTAAAATACACAATTTCAAAAACATTGTGCGACTATTTAACAATAGTATTTTCACACAATTAATAGCTTTAATATTTGTATGCCACATATAAATTAGGTATATGAATTTCATTAGCGTGCAGTTCCAATGAAGATATCCTATATAAATAAACATTTTCACCCCCAAATACTGGTAAGAGAGAAGTCCAGAAATAGGAGAACGACTTTATAATAGGCCTTAAAAAAAGCGCCAATTTCCAATTTAAATGTTATCATTGTCTATGGTCTCAAGCATTTCTAAACAAAAAAAACTTGGTGCGTGACATATCCCATGGCACCCTCTACCCAGATTTTTAGCTACATTTGTCCTAGTCATATAAGGTACCAACATTTTATTAGTTTAAAAGAGACAGATTCTATGGCGTGGGGGGGATGCAGAAGGCTAGGGTGGGGGCACATCACTTTTGAAAATGTACCAAATGTATCCGGGGCTGCCAGTGACTGACTAAAAATTTGGGCTTTTGGGATGGGCACTTTTGGTGGAGTTCTAAATTAATAGATAATGGATGCTTAAAAAAATGCAATTTATTTTTTATACAACACAAATGTTATGAATTTACTGTAGTTGCTACAATTAATGCTGTAGTCAGAATAGTGGCATGGAAGTCAACTATCAAGGCATTAATAATTGTACAACACTCATTAAAACTGGGGCAGTGACAAGGGTTTTACTTTAATGATTGAGCATTTGTACAATAAACTAGAGCAGTTCCTCTTTTGAGCACATAAGAAGCTACCTCAGTTTAAAAAGCCCTAAAATGTGCCTATCCATATTAATAACCAAATGCAAAATGCTACATAAAACTCCAGTAATTGCTGAGGGTTTGATTTTATTGATTTTTGCTCCCTTAAATTTGCCTGAGACGAATTTGCATAATAATCATAATGACCTAAATTCTTTTTTTTTTCTTCCTTTGTTTTTTGGGTTCACTGAATATACTGTTTTACAGCTTTTACTTTGTTGTTTTCAGCAATCCATCAAGAATTGGTGTATTTATCAGGAAGGCCTGTACAGTCTTCTTGCCTATAAAAAAATGAAAAACATTTGTTTTAATAGTAATACATTAGTTGAAACATCAAACATATTTAAAAACTTTCTGTTACTATACGTTTCACGATATTAGACACACTCTGTGTACTGATCACTACTGATGTTGCTAGAAATACAGTAGCCAAGAATTATCATAGCCGACAGGATTGTTTGAAACGTGCAATGGCTTTAGTGATAATGGAGTTGTTTGCCTATATAATTGCGTATCATTTCTTTCGATCAGTTGGACATCTTTTCGTGTCTAGCGAATGCTTAGTACACGTACTACCATGGAGGAAATTTCATTTGAGTGATTCTCTGCACGCGATGATTGGGCATGTTTTGGCCTATCAAAATCATTTGCATAGTGAGGTGGTTGACAGCCTAGTGTCAGTCGTAGACAGGCCTACACCGATTGTTCAGTAGATAGAAATTTGTTTTGTAAATGATTCTCAAAAAACTGCCAAAAAAATAAAGTAAGAATTTAACACTGTGTAGGCATCAAATACAAAATTAATTTTAATTCGCTACCTGTTAAACTTAGCTGTAAATATAAGTGCTGGTATGTCAGTGTGGCTTTGGTCGGGCAAGTGTGTCTGATGCGGATTGTGAATTGGTGCTAGAGTTCGCAATTCCCTCTGGGAGTGTATATTTTTATTTGGCTTTGCATAGTATAGCCCAAATTAGACCAATCTGGAATAGGCAATCCACAAAACAATGTTTTGGATAGGCAAATTATTATTATTTTTTTTTTAGATTCGTCGTCACCACTCTGCACAGGGGATTTAAAGCCTTTGAAACCCCTAAATTGTTATGCCTCCTGGACCACTAAAGAGATTTTGAGAGATGCCTGACCACACTTACTTTGCTCTCGTTGGTAACTTGCCACCCCTGCCACTGCTTGGAGGTGCAGAATGTCATTGCAGCTGGACCCCCTCCCCAGCATGAAATTGAAATGTATTAAAACAATACAAATATTAAAGATTAGGTTAAAACAGTGTTTATTTGATGAAAATCGGTTAAGTATTAGCAAAGTTATGCACGTAATTCATTGGATATCAGCCATGTAGGTTTTGAGAGAACAGCTTCTGGAGATTCAAAAATCAATAGTTTATTATCAAGATCTGTATATTTAAAATAATTTTAATATATTTTTGATAGTGATTGTTATTTTGCAGAACTGTACTTCAATAGAGTATATCTTTCATAAAATGCAAAAACATTACGTTTCGGGTGCTTGTGGGAAATTGCAACACCTGTGAGGGTTTTAACCAGAGCCTGTCACAAATTATTAATATTATGGAAAATTTCTGCCAAATTTATCCTCTGTTATCTACCCCTTAAATAATTTAAAACGTTAAGAGGTAACCAGAAATTGGACCTCTGCATGTGAAAAGGCGTTCAATATAGTAAATGTAGCTTATGAATAGCAAGTTGTTATATCACTATGATGTGAATATGCGAATGCGTCCTGGTGGCTTATGGTCTGGGAGTAGTGATTTCACATGTACTTCCTGGAGAAGAAGTACAGTATGTTAGGGTTAAAATCTACAGTGCCAACCTTAGCTAATGAACACATCCAGCGTTGGCCTTAATTCTTTCTACATAATGATTATGTTGTATGGGGAGCACTATAATGCTGTTGCTCTTTCTCAAGTTTGTTATATATAGATATAAAATAAGTACAAAGTTTCTTTCTTTTTTTTTTTTTGCAATATACCGCATACAACTACTGGCCAAAAACAGGCGGTTTGTCTGAAGTGGTCTGTAATAAGCAAATGATGCAAAAATAAGATTTTGAGGAGAGTGAATTTTTAGGTGAATAATAGATTCAGGGTTAAGAACGGAAAATGGGGACAAATTCAAGTGGTCTATGGAGACAGTTTTTGGACCTTGAATATATGAGGTTAAATTGGATGAATCTTGGGGTACTACTGTGGTATGTTAGTATAGATCATATGTTGTTTAGTGCTGAATACGGTCATTTTAACCCTAATTGGTTTGAATATCCTCCATTGGGTCAAGGATTCCAGAGTGTGCTACATATTTCTCTACCAAACTGTGCTAATGTCACTCACAGACAATAATATTTATCATTATAATAACAACAGTTTCATAATAAATAGGCGAATAGCACATACATTGCATTGAAATAAAAAAAAAATTAGTGGCAAAACGGGGCGAGCATGTGCCCTCCCCCTTTCCCCGTGTCGTCCCTCTCCCCATCTATCTTAATGCACTATAGTGACGTTCCGCAAACTATGGTCTGCGGCCCAAATTTGGGCCGTGAAACAATTTTGGAGGGCCGAGGAGCCGTCTGGAAATTGAAGACAAAAAATAAAGAGACGTTTTATCATGGAGAAAATACTTTTTAATAAAGCGAATTCAGCGAATGCGTCGCTTGCACACACTGCTATAGTGCCAGATGATGATGCGTGCTTTTTGAGTTATAAGCGGTTTTTGTGTCTATGCCCCTCGGGAGCCTATCTGTATATTTATTCCTGATAGTTCTAGTATGCAACATTATTTTCTATTAATAAATATACTGTAAATATACCTTATTTAAGCATTAAATACCTGTCAAGCAGGGATCCAGAGTTTACTCTGGCTTTCGCACAGATGGGTTCCCATATTGGGAGAGTCATGAGAAGAGAGCTAGCTTGTTTTGTTGCTGGAAGATAAATTTTAGATATACGAAAAGTTTTTGTTTTCTAGATTCTTTGAAATACACTTGAGTGGAATTGAATAGCTTGGTAGTTAAGATGCTTGCCTTCCAATCCCAGGGTCATGGGTTCAATTCCTGTCAGTTGCAGGACTTTTTCTCACGACCAAAACAACTCCACTCCCTAAGCCTCATATTGAGATTTAGTTTGTGTAAAGCATCATGTGTGTATGTTTGTCTTGTGTGTCGTGGACTGTTTTATGTGTACTGTGCCTCTGGGTGAACAGTATTTGTTACTGAAGAGGAAACCCAGTATAAATAACAAATAAATAAATAAAACGTGCATTATGAGACGTCTATTATTGAATACACTTTGAATTCATAGTTTTTCCCTACTTTGCTATGGACAATTAAAAATTATGATGATGAAGAAGATAATGATGATGAAGAGGAAGTTGTGCAAGAATAATTAACAGGCCCTTTTATGTGAAGTGTCAAGCGAGGCCCGTAGCCTAAGTTACGGTTGGGAATTTGGAGACATTATCGTCGTCGTCAAATGTTCAATGCACACAGTCGGACAGTAGATAATTTATGATATCTATTTTGTATAGAAAGTAATCTGAAACCCATAAAACATCAGTTCAGGCATTCATTTATCTGTCTGTGGAAAATATAACATATGAATCATACAAAATAAGAAGAATTAAAATAAAATTTAAAATATGTAAAAAACATCTACACTAAATCAAAATGGAATATTCACTGCCTGTTGGATCCCCGTTTTAGTATTGCAAGGGTTCTGAAGGCTTTACAGTACAGTATAACCAATAAACCGTATTTCTGATAGATTGCTGATTAAAATGTAAAATTTTTATTCAGTACATTCTCAAATGTTATTTTTTTATTTATTTTATTTTATTAATTTCTGCAACACAAATGACAAAAACACAAAACAACTTTGAATGCACCATGGAGTGGCAAAAGAGGTCATAGAACTTCTATCGCCAAGAGGCGTGCCACTCCAAATGTAAATCTCATATATCCCAGTCTAATATGACCACAACATGGAAGTCCTCTCCTTTAAACTTCTAACCTACTAAACTTTGCGTATCTCAATATACATACATATTTCCTTAAATCAAGGAAGTCCACTAGTTAAATTAGTATATATAGTATAGAGAATTTTGTCTGTCAATCTCAGATATCCAAATTTTAGGAAATTACGTTTTATGCATGCACCGACATGAGAACTTTAACCTAATAACTTTGATATGTATATGTTTTATGTTGTTTGTTGAATAGATTTCTTTAATAATAATATTACACTTTAATATATGACCACAACATAAGGAAGTCCACTCTGCAGATGTTTAGCATAATATTGTACAGAGAATTTTGATTGTTTATCAATATTGATATTGATTGTTTATCAATATCATCATGTTAGATCCAAATCACATTTTATGCAAGCACCGACGAGGAAAGATTAAACATAATAATTTTGATGTACATGTTTTATGTTATGTGTTGATTGGTCTTAGTTAATAATATTACAGTCTAATGGCTTAATGTAATAATATTACAGTTTAATGGTTTACAGTAATATTACAGTTTAATGGCCCCGGAACCCTGAACCCCGACCCGGTGCCCTTGGCGACCCCCTAGCCCCAATTATCAGTGCTCGCGCTTCGCTCGCAACCTGACCATTTCCATTCTCGTGGCTACGGCCCTGCTATGACGTGTGTGGCTGAACCGTGTTTGGTTGAATCAGGGTAGAAAGAAAAACAATCAACATTTGTGGGGGGGGGGGTGAAATACAAATGTACGGTATTATTTTTTAAATAAAGTAATATAATTTGTATACAATAAAATGTTATCACTACGAGAACAGATAATGATGTCAAAATATTGTATATACATGGTGGCTTCATGATCAAAAGATCTTGCCAAGATTTGGTATGTTGGTCCCTGGCGCGGCTGGGCCGCTGGGCCGCGGTTTGGTGCCTGGAATCGTAAATAGGCTGTGAAGTAAAAAGTTTGCGGAATGCTGCACTATGGCATTGCTGAAGAATAGCCATAATGACCCGATCCATATCGACCAAGATTCGAGAGATAGAGAATAGGCTCTAGCTATGCTAACTAAACCTGAGCCTACTGTAGGCTCCCAGGTCTAGGCCTATCTCTCATCGACATCACAGGCTAGGCTAGGCCTGTGTAGGGATAGCTGATATGATTAAGGCCGAGCTTATATCATTGCTTGTGCCCAAGTGTATCTTTTTTTTTTTCCTCATGGATTTCACATTACTGATGTTTCAAGCCATAAGACTACAGTAATATCCAGTACTTAATGCAATGGGTACTCCGAAGTGGTACGGGAACATGCTGCTCACTCATTTTGTTGACTACGTGAAGCACTGCGCGGTGATGTAATGAAGCTGCGAAACATAGACTGGTTCTTTTACAGCCTACTGCAATCATCTTTAAACCTAAGCACTGCGGTACAGAATAGATGGGATTAAGTGGTTTTTGGCTGTTTTTTCGTTGTTATCCAATATCCAGCATGAAAAGTAGCAGAATGTTGTCGTGACAACCCATTGTATGAGATATGAGCACATTCCTGCCAGCAGTTTCATAGGAGATAGGTGAAGTTACGCGGAGGCGATTAGTAGAATTAATATATAGATGATAATAATAAAAATAATAATAATATTATATTTATATAGCACATATTTCACATTGGCCCTATGCGCTTTACACAGAAATAATAAAGGCCAACCGAGACAATAATAGTAATAGGTTGATTTATAAGGTGCAAATACACAAGGCAAAGGAAAATCAGAAAACTTGGTATATTCAGAGAATAGGGAAAATAAAATAGAACAGACTATCCTAAAATTAACCGAAAAAAAGGGAAAACCACATAAACAGACTAGTGCAAGGAACCACAACCATTGCACTGTTTTCTAGGCAATTTGAAACCACTGGTGGTCAGTATTTCCATTAGGTGCTGTAATTGTTTTGGCATCTAACTAGCCTACCAAAAAACAGAGGTGAGAAACAAGACAGTTCATAGGAGAAAACATGGGATCACAAGGATGCAAAAAGGTTGAGTTTTAAGCTGCTTTTAAAAGTAGCCAAGGAATTCGCAGACTCGGGAATATAAACTGGGTGATCATTCCACAGTTTAGAGCGGCAACACAAAAAGACCTTACCCCAAAAAGTTTAAAACGGCATTTGGGTGTGAAAAGTGTTTTAAGTAGTTTGGCGTGTTCTTTTACATGCTGTAAGTTGCCCAGTGGTGAAGTGTCTTGTATACAAGGAAAAAATCTTGAATGCAATTCTGTAGTGTGGGTGTGATATGCTGTGATCTAGGAATGAGTTTAACAAGACTCATAAACAAGATTCATAATCCTTACTTGGTAATGATACTCAGGCACCATTTTAGCTTTTATCGATTATGTATGAAAGGCATTCTTGCATTATGTACCACACGAGTCAGCTGCCTTCCATCTTGTAAATGACCTTTACTAAAAAAACAACATAGTACAACTCAGTATAATAATACAGTATTACAATGGCATTGTTATTATTACCACTGATCGCAGCCCTCATCTTAATTTTAAAGGTTACTCATCAACATTATGTTATGATTCAAAATTTAAAAAATGGGTGTTCTTGACTTTGACCAACAAAAAATGTTTAAAACAATTTTTTGATAAGCTTTGAATTCATAAAGTTATCTTGGAGACTAGGGCAGTGGCGGACCTTCAAGGCAAGCAAGGTACAGTATGCAGTGCATACCCTGGCTAAAACAAATAAAAATATATTAGTACAGTTTCTCCGCTTTATTTAACATTTTCTAATAGTCAGGATCTTATACACCCTAATTTTTCAAGTGGAATGCTATTCATTGAAATACCAAAGTTTTCAATGTTTGGCCTACTTTGGTACCTAGGATAAGTCACAGTTGGGCCTATCGCATTGTACTTAGAATTTCCGCATGGCTGGTCTTTGATATCAGCCAATCACGTATTCAGTGAGTCAATGGAAGTCAGAGCATACCCTACAACGCTTAAATTTGCTATTATGACAACCGTGTGGTGGCGTCAGAATAACCAATTTAACACTGGAATGGAAGCAGTGCTTCCAATCTGCGCATGCTCTTCTCACAAATCGGGACCTCCACTGCCGATCGGGTATTCTATCTACAAGCCTAATCTGAATCGATTAAATTTTAAATATATTTACATACATATGACAGGTATAGAAGAAACTTTGAATTATTATTATTTGAATTGAAATTTGTTAAAGTACAGGAATAAGAATTCTTTTGAAGAGAAGACAACCATGCCAGTATTAAAAATAACATGCATTGTATTTTGACTATAAAACGCAATCTGATTTTGTATAGTAGTAGGCTTCCGAACTTTTCCTATCACTAACAGGCCCTAGCATCAGTGGCGGGTCTTAAAATGGAAGGGAGCTGATGGTGTCAGGAAGGTGATTATGAGGGGATAACTCGCAAAATAAGGTGATATGAGGTGATTTTTAATTACTTGAGCATAATTTGTGGGCGGGGCGCAACTGGGGGATGGGCGAGTATTTTTTTTAAGGGTAGGGGGAGGACGTGCAGCCCCTTGTACATCCTAGATATGCCAATATCTAGCATACTATGCAATTTACCCTACGGTCCACCACTAGACTAGCGGGGCTTGAAATTAATTTTTTTTTCTTGGTAGCACTGCCAAAATTTTCTAGCACCCCCCCAAAAAAATTTGGTAGCACAAGTAATTTTTTTAGTAGCACATATTTCCCCATCCTTTTTGCATCCCCTAAGATAATAAGCGCTGCGCAATATTTTATTCTTTATATTTCCTAACAAACCCCCTCCCACCCACACCTACACTGTCCCCATGGATTATTATGCAAGAAAGAAGACATGAAAGAAAGAGAAGAGATTTTTAAAAATTGAAAAAAAAGAAAAACAAGAAAAGTAATAAATAAGAAATAACAAAAGGAAGGAAAGAAAAAAAAGAAAGAAGTAAAATGGTGGAAAGAAAATGACAATGAAAAAACTAAAAAGGTAAGTATCAAAAATGAAATAAGAAAAAGAATGAAACAATATTAAAATGAAAATAGATATTAAAGGGATAGTAAAGAAAAAAGGTGCAAGGTAATACAATTCAACCTTACTGGAAGGAAAGGGAAAGTATTTCATGGAAAGTTTCAATTGTTAGGAATATTTCTGTTAATTATTAACAGATATACACAATATAAAAAAGAAAAACATGAGCAGTAATAATGTGCTAGCTAAACTGTCTAGTCAATGGACTGCGAAAATCTGCAGTTACTTAAAGTGGATTGATATATTGATTATAAAATTATTAATTATTATTACTGAAACATTAATTATATTTTCTGTACACTTTCTTTAAATTTTTCAGTATTTTTCTTCATTTGTGCAGGAAATTTCGAGAAATAGGTCCGCAGAATCGCATTAACACTGCGAATGCCTATACATTGGTTACAATAGCCACCAGCCGACTTTATTGCAACATTTGCGCAAAAATTGGCAAACTTATTTTTAATATGCGTGGATGGAATTTTTTCTTTATGAGACAACTCTAAATCAATTTACACATAATAATTTCAACCTAAACAAAGTTCCAGAGTTTTCACCAACATTTCGGGAGTGCTGAGATTCCAGCTCCCCACTTGTCCAGGCCATTTAGGCTTCGTTTTAAGCCCGAAAAATTGGCATCACACAGTCGGCCGGCGACACTTCTTATTTAGGTTATAATGTAGCTTGGAACATTAGGCCTGGGCCTGTACAACTTCAGCAAATTATCTTATACCTACATATATAACGATCTATAGTTTCATTTTCTTGTTCAATGGTTGTTTTTATTGAGAATTATTTAAAAAAAAAAAAAAAAAAAACTGATACGCCTTCCAACTTCGAAACTTCTGTATTAATCGCCAGAGAACATCGTCACACTTCTAGAGCTTACAAAGGTTTCGCGGAGTAACATTATCCCAAACATTGCAAGTTGCCCCGAATGATGTAATATCCCAGCATTCTGATTGGTTTGCAATGGACTCAACATACCTTACTCGCCAGCCGGTGTAGTCAGGCGCACACATGGTTTGGGATGTTACTCCGCAAAATATAGTTTCGTAATTGAAAGGCCTGCTACCAGTTAGTTCGATGTTGTTTTGTTGTTACGTTTTTTGTTGTTGTTGTCAAAACAAGAAACATTCCTTGTAGAATTATATATTTTTTATATATCTTATAGATTAAATTAACCAATTAATTCAATTGTTGCACTTTAATAATTCCACGTTTAAAATTGAATCTTTAAATGTTCATTTATATACAATTCAATTTTTATATTATTTCAAAACACGATTAAACAATCATTTTGCTTACTTTCTGCTGATACTTTGTTAAGAACGAAATAAATTGTTTGATAGAGGCCCATTACTAGTTGCCTACTGCTTAACGTCTACTACATTCATTGAGAAACGTTCCCAATTCCAGGCTCCTCCTGGTAGACACAGAGTTTGCCAGACACAAAGTATTTGACTCTTTGTACGCTGCCGATACGAACAAATGTAGGTCAGAAGCCGACTGGCTCGCTCAGTAAATAAATGGTAGTAAAGGAGTTGCTTTCTATATTATTTCATTTAATGGTTTCAAAATTTGCTGTGAGACCTATTTGTTTTTTTTTTTTTGTAAATTTCAAGATATTGCTCATTGAGATGCATGTTGTTAAACTATAGCAGCTCCGCGAATTCTGGCTGAGGTTATCATCAAAGAGTATTTTATACCCTTTGTTATCATCAGCCATGTGACTGAAGAAGTGTAATCTTATTTCATAATGTATGAGGTTTAGGTAATTTGTTTGGTATTCAATAAAAGATGTCTGCCTTAATACCGGTAGTACTTTGAATATAATCATCCAGATGATACCTAATTGTATTTATTTACGATCTATTTAGAGTTAAATTTTGATTATTGCTTGATCTGGGCCGTTTACATCGTATGAGTCAATACTGTATACGATCGTTTGAAATTTCGGTACATAGTCTATTTTATGAACAAATACGTTGAGGAAACGTTCACAATTACGAGGAGGTACAGGTAAGAGTAGCACTTGAATAAAATAGTAAAAAATCGTGCAATCCGATGTTTTTATACCAGTCTCCTTCGCTTTGACAGTGATCGCTTATTTACCAAGAATAAGATGAGCGCACATCGACACGGTTTTAAAGTACGACGTCACACTTCAACAGTCTAGGTCATGCTGATTGGTTGATAAAGTACATGTATTAAATGAATGATAACATGTTTTGCGTACAGCCTGACTGAAAATAATGGGCTGTACAAGTTGTAAATAATTGGGATTTGGAGGGAAAACACCTTCCTGCCGCTTACAAAATCTACTCGCGCTATCAAATTACCTTGTCACACTGAGTGCGACAAAGTTGAATTCCTTGTCGCACCTTAAAAAATTAGGTCGCATCCTTAATTTCAAGCCCTGTCAATACATTTTTCCTGATCAAGAGAAAGGTGGTATTTAAAAGCAAAAACTATAGAAACTGTTTTCTTCTCTTTAGCTTGAGCCTACTGTACACACTAACACCCACTTCTGAATATCGGTAAAACAGTGGGGCAATTTATGGAGCAAAGAATCAATGCTAGAAAGATTTCAGGGACTAAAAGGAAGATATAGCTGAAGATCATCAGCATTGAAGTGATATAGCTTCCCATAATATTGCCTAGTGGGCTAATGTACAAACTACAGTACATAAGCAAGGGTCAATGACTTAGCCTCTTGGGGTACACCAGCATTAAGTAAAGGATGTGACGTGCAGAGAATTCACCAGATGGAAACCCTACTCTTTACAACTCAGAAAAAATTTAATCCAGATGCTGTCTCAACATGATGAAGCAGGACGTTGTGATCAACCGTATCACATGCTGCTGAAAGATCATACAGAACAAGCATAAACCTTGGCAATATATTCAGTGAAAAGAGAAATATTAGTGTGGACTATAATAGAGCTGTTTCAGTACTTTGATTACTCCTATAGGCTCATCAGTTCAGTGAAGATTGAGAGAATAGTTGGTTGATGTTGTATTGATGTGTTGTTGTTATTTTTATAGATGAAAGGTGATGGGCCATAAAAAAACAAGGTGTTTTCTAGCCAAAGATGGTTGGCGGGCTGCACACATAGGCTTTTTAGTGTGTTTTTGCAGGCAGCAAAAAAATCACTGTCGGGCCACATGCAGCCCGCGGGCCACACTTAGCCTAACTGTAATCTAAAAAATGTAAATCTGAGCTAATTACTAGCGATGATGCGGATTGTCATTCACATAATTTCAGTACTGGGACAATAATTACTGCCAGTCATCTTTCAATACCAGACAAAAAATATTGTTAATAGGTAATTTCATAAATATTCCTCACAAATACTGTTTATATGACAACATTATATCTTGCATATCATTTATTTCTTGGAAACTCACCTTCAAATAATTGATCGTCATCTTCTCTTTGATCATTACACTGTAAAAAAGAGAAATTGTTATGATGCTGAGAATTCTTTTATTTTTGTACTATTTCATTTGAAAAAAATAAACTAAAACAATAACAATATAATAATAACAATATAATATATAATAATAATAATAATAATAATAATAATAATAATAATATAGTAACTAGAACAATAATACATGCAACAATAAAATAAACAAACAATACACATAATATTGAAAATTATAATTATAACAATAAAAATATTTACTATAGCACACTCCGGGAGTGTATACAGTATTTCCGCCCACATCATAATTCCCCATGTATAAAATTCCCATGCATCTTTCCCATTTGATAAAAAAAATAATGAAAACATAATCCACCAGGATTCAAACTCGGGACCTGCCGCTTACAAAGCAAACATCATTACCAACTAAACAATTAATACAGCCCGGTAGCTACTGTATCATGGAGGTAGCTATACACAAAACAAAGGAATTTTTCAGTACAAAAGTCTGAAAATGCCGAAATTGTAATACATTATCTCTATGTACAGCAAGCAAATACAGCCTTCCAAAAGGTTACTGTGAACTTAAAAGAATATATTAATTTCACAAAAAGTTAAACAGTATACTGTACACTGTATAGTAATTATGTCAACATTGTAGCAACTGAAACATCACTACTGGTTTCTTGTATAGAGTAGGTATGTGTAATGAAATTGTATTAATTGTCATTTATTAATCGATGTTAATTAAGCCTGTATATGTGAGAACCAATATAATTGAACTGTGAAAACCAATATGTATGTATGCAAATTGTTGTTTTCCTGTATAGTTTTCACTGAGCCGATAGAAAAATAAAACCGAAGCTCCCGTCAAAGCCTTGGCCTTTGTGTTTATTATGCATGTCTAAATCTTATTAGGTAGACCAACACAGAACACTTCATTGAAAAATTCCTTGCTGCGTTTACAGTATATGAGGTGATGTGAATCAACACAGTGATTATGACCGAGTTTTAATTATTGCAAGTATTTCATCTATTTGTTTAGTTCGCAGAAGAGCGTTAATAGTCAATCAATGCTGGGTGCCTTTTTAAGATATCTGCAAGAAATGTGGGTTTTTAAGATATCTGCAAGAAATGTGGGTGACAGTAATTGACATGTCGACAAGGAATAAAATTTTACAACAATTAGCGTTAGCAAAGCTGGTATACAATTCTAGTAATTTAGAAAACCCTGAATTTGTCTTAAAACAAGTTGACAAAATTGTCTATGACTTTTTGTGGGATAAAAAAACGGAAAAAATAAAAAGATGAACTCTCATAAACAAATATGAACACGGTGGTATAAAAGCACCCGACATCAGGTCTCAAGTGCAATCTTTCAACATATCATGGGCTAGACGTCTTTTCAATGATGAAACATCTACTGTATAGTGGAAATGTTTGCCATCTATGTATTTTAACAAAATTGATTTGTCGAAAGAAAATGTATAGAACCGAAATGTCAATTAAAATGGGAATTATATTTTAATACTACAGTTGATTGGATGTTAACCTAGAAAAGAAAAGTAAAAATTATTAGAGAAAACAAACTCAAACAAGTAAATTTTAAATTATTACATAGAATTATTCCCACTAAGGAAAAGATTATGTATATGGAAAATTATAAACTCAAACACATGCTTACAATGCAACCGTGTTGAGGATGATGCACATTTATTTTATGAATGTGCAGAAGCCAGTAATCTATGGCGTTACATTAACAAACTTACCTCAAAGAATTACAATATTGAGGCAAACTTTAAAAACATAGTACTTGGTACTTGGAATACGTATGTAGACAATTTGTTTTCATTAGGTTTATTTTGCATATATAAAGCAAATGTGTTAAAACAAATTAATATATGGAAATTTATCTCAGTCTATCAACTGTTTATTGTTGAAAAAAGTATAAGAAATTACAAATAGGCCTATACGAAAATAATATATGTAAAAATGTACTTGACCAACCTCAATATGTACAGTGTAATGCTTTTTTTTTAATCGGTTAACTTTACACATGGATTTACAGTGATTTGTTTTTTTAATTAATTTTTACTTTATTTTAAATGTCTTTTTAACATATTGGACGATCTACATGGGTGCTAGTTATTACTTTTAGATCCTATGAATAGCGCATAGAAAAGCTAATTTGAATGATCGATCGATTAATTGATTAATTGATTGATTGGTCGATCGATAAACGCTGCATTTACATTGTACTGTATATATTACAATTTTATCACACTTGTTTTCTGCAAAGTATAATAATTTTACCCATTATGAGAAACTGATATGCAGTACCTGTTTATGCCAGATATGAATTGTGAATAAAAGTGGGACGACCCCACAAAAGATTTAAAAAAAAAAAGTATGCGAAGCCCCGCCCACAAAGTCAAGAAAACCTTAGACAATGGCGGCTAGACTTACCGAGTTGGCGAACATTTTCTTTGCTATTAACCTTCTTTAAGAAAGAGAATTCAGGGTAGGCAGTATGAAAATCAATAATATATTTATAGTGCTAATCTATTTCATGGAACAGGCGGGGAAATTTTTGTAAAAGCCTCTGTATTTCGCTCCCAAAGGAAGAGGGAAAAGCCGCATTCAGTCAACCTTGTTGTCGGCAAAGGCCAAGTCACCAATGCGCACTGCTCGTGTAAATCTGGGTATCTATAACCAAGCAGAGACACCTAGGCCTAGGCTCACGTATGTTTCGCGTTGACAACCAGCTGTCTAAGGAAATTAAAATGTCAGAGAAAAAGTTTTGTTTAAAATATACACACAAACTTGTTGAAAGTACTTTATATTGTAGGCGAGACTTTTTTTATTCCTTGTTTCGCATACTTATTTTATGAAAGATCATCGGAGGAGGGCGGAATAAAAATAAAAATAAAATTTTTTTTTTTTTATTTAGCAAGGATTTTTTCCAAAAAACATCCTAACGGTGGAGAAATAAAAATAAAATTTTATTGGTGAATGTAATATAATTAGGAAGAAATATACATGTCTTTGGATATTTCAAGGCAGCGGAGGGCGTAATAGAAATAAAGAAAAACCTTTATTTTTTTTCTGAAATTTCCACTTTTTCGTGGCGGCAGGTGCACTAAATGGCCGAAAATAAAATTGTATTTTTATTCAAAATCATCAACATTTGCAGTCGGCAGGTTCGCTAATCAAGGTATAAAAAAAGTCTCGCCGTACATACATTAGAAACATTGCGATTTGCAACAATTATGTTTGGTGTGGAGCTGCCTATCCATGATGGAGTTGAGGTACATTGTTGAAATTTGTAACACGTACACATAATTATAGTTATACTCCTGTTGTGTAAGTTTTAATACCTTGTGTAACTGGCCATATGGTCAACGATCAACCCAAAAAGAGATGATTTTTATATTGCTTTGTTGGGGTGTACCCATACCTCCACTGTTTAGTTTTAGACTGTACTTGCTTAAGGTTATACAGCTGTACCTAGAAATAATGTATTTGCAATTTAGGCATCCTTAGATTTATGTGACTCCTGGGTTCACGGGGAATGTTAAGAAGTCATTTTGTGATTATCATGATTTGTATATACTGTAGCTACCAAACCATGATGAGTTGAGTACATTGAGCTGAAAATTGTCAGTATACATTACTGTAACCCTTTCAAATGAGCTTCTTTTCGAAATAGGCTTCATTTTGAGGCTACCTATATATAAGTAATGTTATTGATCATTGAATAATGTTGACATACCTGTATAGTTAAACAATTTCTTCAGCAATTCTGTGTCCACTGTTTTGGGAGGACGGCACCAGGGCGTTTTTAAAGACAGAAGGATCTTTCAGTCTCATTGGGAACCATTATGGTCATGGTCGAGATGTTCATATACCATAATGATACAACCTCATCATAAACCAGCAAAGCCTCAACTCAATTTGCTTTTTATCTGGTGAAATAGAAATAATAATAATAATAATAATAATAATAATAATAATAATAATAATAATAATAATAATAATAATAATAAAAACTTGTAAAGCGCCGGTAAAACTTGTAAAACTCTCATGGCGCCCTCCACAAGAAGTCAAAAATATGAGAGACAAAAATGATGTACAATGATATAAGCAGCTTTAAGATTACTGTCATATGATGCAGTTTTTATACACGGTTTCTTTAATTTATTTACAATTTTCAAAAAAATCTCACATCTTTGTCAATTGTAACTGTTGACAATCTGTACATATTGTTTTTACTCAGCCAGTTATTGGTTTTAAATGACATTTTATTTATTTCAAATATTTGAAATTTGACATAAACTTAATGTAGATATGAAATACCAAAACAATTTGTTTGGGCTTCATTTTCACAGCTTTCTCTTAACCCTGGTGCACAAATACAGTTACCTGTCTTGTCATCGCATATGTTACCATTAAAACAAATATTACAAAATACTTGCACCCCAGCGGCAAAGGTGGACATTCTGAATGAAATAAATATCTCATAATCTTTTAACCTATTAATATACGGCAATGCATTTAGGTTTAACAAATCTAACACTGACTATTATTAAAGAAGCATGGGCTAAGAGTCTACATGGTGTTCACACAAAATGTGTTATGATTACTTACACTGTACAAGGATGCTATTGCTTGTTCAGTGGCGGATCCAGAAATTCGAAATGGGGGGGGGGGCCAGG